AGGATTTGGATTATGAACCTTCGGTGGAAGATGAGGCAGCATGGTATGATCGTGTTCGTCTTGAAGAGGGCTTTGCAGCGAGGGAACTTGGGGCAGCTCTGGATGATACTGAATCAGCCCCTGATTCGTCTCTCTTCGAAGGGGCGGCGAGTGCTGCTGTGCGGGGCCCTCCAATTACAGATGATGCCTTCGCCCGGCTTGCAGCTGAATCTTCCTTTAAAAGGATGCGCATTGAAAGGCCCAGGCAGGTTTGGGAGGAGCATCCGGTCTTTAAGAGGACGAGCTTTCGAACATCATTGTCTTCTTGGCTATCTAGGACCCCCTCCGTGGGCATTCGAGAGACACTAAATTGTCCAGAGGAACCTGAAAAATTTGGGGGCGAGGACGCTTCAAAGATTCCTTGGACGATTGAGAGGCGCCTTAAGAATGTGAGGCTTGAGAGATGCGATGAGGATGAACGGAATTATGCCTTGAAGAAGCTCAAGGCGACGGTGCTTTTGGACCCGGCGGCTTCGGGCCTAGGGCTCAGCCTGGTCAAGCAGACGGGAGCATTGGAGGCTGACGAAGTTGTGTCAGCTAGCTTCTGCGATGCTTTTAGTGCAAAGGCTGCGGGAACACTTACCAAGCGAGCTTCGTCATTGCAGAGATTGGTTTTGCAACTGTACAATCAGGGAGTGGAATCTCCCTGGCGCATGTCTGAAGCTGATCTGTATAATGCATTGACGGCGCTAAGGGATAATGGGTGTGGGGCTACAGCACCGGCCCATATCCTTGAGAGTCTTCGATTTTTACATGCTATTGTATGTTTTCAATGCATTGACCTGGAGGCAGTTATTTCAGCTCGCTGCAAAGGCTTGGCTCATTCGAGCTTCCTCGGCAAGGCGCCGTTGAAGCAGAGGGACCCTCTGTCTTGCAGTCAGGTCAAGGCGTTGGAGGGCATAATGGTCAAAGTTGGAGCTGTGGAGCAGTGCATCTTGGGCCAGGTTCTCTTCTGTGTGCATGCTGTTTGCAGATGGAAGGATGCTCAGCGTATCAGATCTTTGGAGCTGCTGGGTTCAGGTGAGAGCCAGGTCTTATTTGGTGATGCACTGGGCAGCAAGACAGCCTTGAGCAAGGAGGCGAAAACGAAGTTCACTCCATATGCAGCTTTGGCGCAGGGCCTCACTGAATGCGGCTGGGGGCGACTGTGGATCGATGCTAGGGCTAAGTGTGGTTTGAGTTTTGGAGCAGGGCCTGAAGGTTATGCTCTCCCTACGCGGTCATTGCGCCTCGATGCTTGGGGTTCGACACCGATGGGAGCTGCGGAGGCTTCGGCTTGGATTCAGGAGTGGTTGGCAGATGCGGGTCCCGAGGCTAAGAGCCTAGGGACTCATTCTTTAAAGGTCACTCTTTTGACTTGGGCAGGACGCTCTACGATTGTTAGACTGAGTAAGGCTGAGGGTTTGCTTCTTGGACATCATGTTCAGCCGAGTGTCAAGAGCATGTTAACCTACAGCCGTGAAGCTTATACGAGTTCGGCAGGCAAGGTTCTGGCTCTCTACAGGACGATCAGGAGCGGGGCTTTCGACCCCGATTTGGATCCTGCATCGCGCGTTCGCCAGGTAGCGGATGCGTTGATTGATGAGGAGGTGGCAGCTCGTGTGGAGCTTCAGCCTGAGGAGGTCGCGGCCGAGCAGCTCAACGCCTCGGACGAGGATTCGGCTGAGTCTGAGGCGGATGGGGAAGAGCCTGCCCCGTTTGTTCTGCCTAATCTTCCAGTGCTGAGGGCGCCATTTGCAGATGTCGATGTATCTAATTGCAGGATTCATTTTGTTTCCGGGATTGCTCATTGCCTGAGGGATGAGGATACCTTCTGGTGCGGGAGAGCTTGCACCGAGAGATACACTCGATATTCGGGTGTGGGCACTGAGGATCCCGATGTTTGCTTGCAATGTTCAAGAGCTATGAATGAGTGAGAGTGCCGCAGGCTACGTGGCAACAAAAGGAGCGCGCAGAAGCCCCGGGCGCCTGGGAGCGGCGTCCGGAAGACGGGCAGTGAGACATGCATTTTGCTTCTCATCAGGAGCGATACTCTTAATCCCTGGGCACCTTGGGAGGAGGTGCCCGAGAGGGGGAAACAACCAAGAGGTGCAGCAGTGACTGCAGGTCATGAGGACGTTAGGCCGTGAGTGCAAGTCCTATGGCTCGTAGCGCAAGTCATGGCTGTTGTGCCTTGCAAGTCCTAGAGGATTGTGCATGTCAAGGTGAGCATTGCAAGCAAAGTATCAAGTTTTAACTTCATGTTGCTGGTGTTCACTGATTAAATAAGAAACAACTTAGCAGCCGAAGTCGGTATGGCATCGGCCAATTTGGATTCCGAGGCAGCATTCGCTGACCGAGCCAGGAAGGTTGGCTTAACCGAAGAGACCTTGCAGGGTCTCTTGGAGAATGGCTACAACACGTTTGGTCGTTTGGCATTCGCGGTTTCGGCTACCCCAACGACACTGACCGACGAGGCAGTCGACGCTTGGATTGAGGGCTTGGGGATTCGTCCTTCAGGGTTCCAGAAGGCCAGTTTGCGCAGGCTCCTCTTTGATGGTGTCAGCATGGCAATTGAGGAGGTTAAGGCACGCATTGAACCTGGTTTGGAGGGACATCCCAAGAAGCTTGCGCTTCAGCTGAGCGCCTTGACCGACAGGCGCGTCAGGAGAAATCTTTAGGTGGCTTGGTGTTCACGCCCGAGACTCGCCCGGCCAACTCATGTGTGGACCTTTGCGTTGAAATGCTTGAGACCGGGGTTCTTCAATACCATGTACCTAGCAAGTGGGTAAGTAGGGCGCAGGAGGCACAGTGCTTGAAGCGTGACAGCAGCATCAACATTGATTCTGACAACAACTTGAAGATTGCAACCAAGGCGACCGATTAGTCTTGTGATGTTTCTTCCGAGATGCGTTTGAGGCAGGCCTGGAGTCGGAGGTCGCTTGCCTTCGACCTTGCAAATCTGGCCAGCTTCAAGGTTATGGAAGAGCATGTGCAGTTCCTGTTTTCTGTTTTGCAGCGAACGCAACCCAAGGGTTTCATGAGCATCCAACTGTCGCAAATCATCGAAGCTGACAAGCAGATGTTTATTTTGGCAAGCAACAACTTGATGGGGAGGCTTACAGCTTCGGCAGGTGCAGCGCCGGCCCTTGACAGTGAAATAACTCGTTTGTCCCGAAGCCCTGACATCATGCAATATTTGGCTCCTTTGCAAACCCCTCCTACGGTTCAACAGCCGTGGAAGCCCGATGGAAAAGGGGGCCGGAAGGGTAAGGACAAGGACGGCAAGGGCAACAAGGGTGCAGCGCGTACCCCTCTGGAGTTGCCGGAGGGTTGTGTGACTAAGGATGATTCAAACCAGCCGCTTTGCTTCGCTTTCAATACGCATGGCTGCAAGAATCAGTGTAAGAAGGGCAGGTGCATGAAGGGTTTCCACAAGTGCTGGAAGAAAGGTTGCTTCGGCAATCATTCTTATAGGAACTGCCCTAAGGCTGGGGCTTGAGAAACCCCGCCAGAGGGTGCGCCGACCTCTGGGGGAGTGCTGCAAGGCGCATTGCAGACAGGTGAATCATGTGTGAGTGGCCCAGAAGGCTGGGCACAAGCGAGGTTAGGATCATCTAACCCCGTGACCGAGGCAGACCTTGCAACCCTCTTTGAAATGCTCCCAGAACGGGAGATTCGGAGAGGTCCTCGGAATGTAAAGACCGCATTCCTGGTAGGCTGTTATGCTCAGGGGGGTTTCCGGGGATTGCGCAAAGAGTGTACTGAATTTCGTTTTGCATGCCAGCTAGTGACCCGCTTTGTTCAGGAGCGTCTTCCTGGTCATGTTTTCTCCAGTTGCGGCATTTTCTCCGATTCGCCCACTCCGCTCCACAAAGATGAAAGAAACGCACATTGGCCCAATGCAGTTTTCCGTTTAACTAATTTCAAGGGGGGTGGACTTTGGATTGAAGGTGCCGGCAGCGACATTCGTGTGTGCAACGATGCAGAACTGAGTGGTTGTGTGCACGAGCTTGGCAGCGAGCCTTTAATATTTGATGCATACTCACGATACCACCAGACTGAGCCGTGGACAGGACATAGACTTGTGCTTGTAACTTGGGTGGTGCAACAACTCGCCACCTTTGACAAAGGTGATGTTGCCTCAGCCCAGCATTTGGGCTTTGTGCTGCCCCCTGAAGTTCCTCGTGCGTTGCAAACTTCGGAAGCTTCCTCGAAGCCTCCAGTTGTTCTTGAGCTGAGCTGTTTGCAGGCAAGGGTGCTTTGTCCCGAGCGCTAAGGCAGTTAGGCTTTGAGGTGCACAGCTTTGATCACCATCATTGTGATGCCCAAGTGCCCATGTTGCAACTTGACCTGGCGAGTGACAGCGGACAGGCGTGGTTCTGGGATTTCTTGGCGAAGCATCGGCCCTTTGCAATCCACATGGGAGTGCCGTGTGGAACTAGCAGCAAGGCGCGGGGTAGACCGCTCCGTAACGGGGCTTTGGGGCCTCAACCTCTTAGGAGTAAGGCCTTCCCTTTGGGTTTACCTTCGCTCAACTGGCAATCAGCTGACGGTCAGAGAGTTGTGACTGCAAACAAACTGTACTCCTTCGCATATCGCATCTTGGATTTCTGTAGGACCAACAACATTATTGCTTGCATCGAGAATCCCGCAAACAGCCATCTGTGGGACATCTTGCAGGCTTTCGAACCCCAGGCCAAGGGCCAGAGCTTCTTGTCAGGTCTATCTGAAGTTATCTTTGATCAGTGTTGCCATGGAGGTTTCCGCCCGAAAAGAACCAAGCTTCTTTGCACACATGCTTGCTTCGAATCCTTGAGGGCATTTTGCCCCGGCAATCACATGCACAAACCTTGGGGGCAACTCATTGAATACGGCAGTGTCCGCTTCGCCACGCGCGATGAAGCGGCGTACCCAGCCATTTTGGCCGGGAGGTACGCTCGGTGCTTGGCCAGCCGGGCGCTTGCACTAGGCTTCTCTCTTGTGCCGCGGCCCTCCACTAAGGATCAGTCTTTGGCATTTTTGGGCAAACAAAACAAGCGACATCCTCCCCTAGTGTCCGAGTTTGCTTCAGTGCTTTGGCAACCAGCAAAGAGTTTTGTGCCCAGGCCCAACTTGAAGCTTTTGCGCTCATCTAGAGGGGGTCAGGTGCTGCTGCAAGCTTCAAAGCCGGAATCCCAACTCGAACCCCGTAGCTCTCAGGTGCTGCGGCCAGCTTCAAATCCGGAATCCCAACTCGAACCCCGTAGCACCCCTTCGAGGGGGACCACCTCGGAGGCAGTAAATCCTTTCAGCCAGCCGGCATCTGTTTCGGATCAGAACTTTGATGACCTTGTTCAGGTTGGGGTTTTAAGGAGTCCTGAGGAGTTCGTTGAGTCAGCCAAGAAGGTTAAACACCCGGTGGATTCAACAAACCCTCTTCTCGATGTGACCCTTCGTGCTCTTGAGGAGAACCTCACTAAGGATCCCAAATTGATTTCCCTCAAAAGAAACCTGGCCATTGCAAAAGTGAAGCAGGAAGTTTCTCGCCACCGAGACAAGGAGCTGCAGCTGCACAGTTCCATGCACCCAGCAGTGGCCAAGGTGATGAAGGGCAAGAACATTCTTGCTTTGGAGTCTCTTTTGCAATCTGAGGGTTACGATGACATGGGTGCCATTGCTTTTCTCAAGGAAGGGGTCCGTTTGGTGGGCACTTCTGAGTGCCCCGAGTGCTTCGACCGCAAAATTGTACCTGCCCAACTCACCGAGGGTGAACTCTTTGAGACAGCTGCAGAAAGGCGCGAGGCTTTGTTGCAGAAGTTTGAAAAGGTTGAACCTCGAGAAGCTGAAGCTCTGAAAGAGGCCACCGATGGCGAGGTGGCTCATGGTTTTCTTGAGGGCCCATACTACGACAAACATGAAGTGTCAGCCAAACTGGGAACCGATCAATGGACCATTATAAGAAGATTTGTCCTTTTCCAAGGAGCTGAACAAAAGGCTCGGCCAATTGACAATTGCTTGGAATCGCAGCTGAATGCAGGGTACTCCGCTAGCATCCACTTGCGTCTGCAGGACTCTGACTATATTGCATCGATGGCTCTGCATGTTGCAAAGGCGATCAGCGAGGGCCGAGCAGCAGTCATCATAAAGGGAGCCAGTCGAAGCTGGGCTATGCATGAGCTTGCTCGACTGTTTTCTGAGCTCGACAGTCAATACCCATCTATGTGGTGGGTGTGCCGAGTGCCCTCGTTCTCGAATCCTGGAGATGCGCCGTCCAGAGGTCATGGCAGCGAGGCTATGACGGCGGTGGGAGCATCAAAAGTTCAGCGATTCAGCAGGCTAGATGAGTTGTCTGAGCGTCTCTGCGCCTTCAAGAGAGCCTCAGTGATCAGGGGCGTCGGGGCTTCTTGAAGGTCTAAGGACCGGGAGAATTCTGAGACACGTGGGGCCCTCGCAGACCCCCGATCGCTGGTGAAAGAAATGAAGGTGTGAGCGCAGTGAGCTTATGTCGATTGTGAGTTGAGGAAGTTTTTATGGTTTCCTACGATCTCTAAGAGATCAACATATATTCTTCGTGAACAATCATTTATAATAGATTCTGTTTGGGGAAATAAGATTTACCCCAATAGATGAAGAAAGAGCTAATCTTGAAAACCCCCAGTCCCAGAAAGAAGGGCGTTTTCGACGTGTCGACTAGACATTCTTTCCCTTGGGGCTGGGAAGCACGCAGTGCGTGCGGGTTTTCAAATGCTCATGATGCAAGCTAACTAATAGTTTCTTGCATGAGTTTTAAGCCGCCGTCGCAGCCTGCCTGCGTAAGGTATTATTTTCACAAGAAAGTTTGATTTTAAAGTTTACTTTAAAATCACGGCTCAATTTTTGATTTCATGCTTTGACACATGTGAAGTTTCATGTCA